CCCCAAAACCCCAAAACCCCAAAACCCCAAATATATGAAAATTTCTTGAAAATAGTTATAACAATATGCTGTAATCGTAAATATTAGTATTCGATGGCTACATGGGGATTCTTCTAGTTAGGAGGACACTATCATTGAATTTTGAAACTTTCACGCTTTGGACAGAGACTCCTTCTGTTGTAAATTCAGTAGGTAGAAAACACTCATCTTCAGTAGCAGTATACTTCCTGTACGGAGTCGTGGGCTTATCTTTTGATTTAGCTACACTCCCTCTTTTCTCTTGAAATTTAGGTTTTTCTTTAACATTTTCAGAGACTATTTCCCTGATTTTGATATCCTTAAGAGTAAGTTTCTGCTTTTGTTTTCATCCTTCTTTCACTTTGGTAGATCCTTCTACAAGTCTGCGCGAGCTTGATATATGAATTGAGTTATTCCCAATTGATCAACAGATGTGTTTGCCTAAATAGGCATTATAACTCGTTTTGGGAAGCAGATTATAATAATGTAAAGCCAAATTCCTTACTTATTTTATTAGTAACTTTCTTCTTCCTAAGATTACTTCTAAGCAAAGATTGAGGTGGGTTTAACAAATTCCCAGATATGTCAGTACTTCTGTGAAGGTTATCCAGATATCTTACTGATGTTGATTGCGATCTTGGCGAGAAATAGTGATAGCAGAGTAATTCTTAATCCCCTTCGTGTATAAATTCCGCTTAGATGCTATCTTATTCTTAGCTTCAGAGGACGGTTTTTGAATTTTAAGATCCTTTAATTCAAGCTTTGGGTGGTAAATTCTATCTTTGTCAAGGCTTTTATTTCTGAGGCTTTCTTCAAAATTCTCACTTTTATTTATTATCAGATTTGCCTATGTATTATAATAGTAGTACTCTTTTTCAGAGATGATTTTGGTTGAGATCCATTTCAATTTGATTCAGAATCTGAGCTTTTAGAATCTTCTAAGTCATCTGAAAATTCAAGATTCCAGTCATAGATGTAATCAAAGTCATAATCTCAGGAATAAAATTTCTTGCTGAAGAACCTTATTCATTTATCATAATCGATGTCATCATCTTTCCCAAGAGAGCAGACGTACTCTCCAAATTTTTCAATCTCATAAAATCATCCCTTATACAGATTTGAGTGGTCTAAAAAGTATTAAGATAAATTGGAAATTCATACCTTTATTTTCTAAATCTCATGTTCATTAGTTTTCCTGCGTCCATTTCTCCTTCAATATCTGACCATGGGAGCTCCTTCGTTAGAAGGTATACAGTAATATAAAGAATAGACTCAAGGTCATCATGCTTACAGTATTCTTCTCCAAGGTGAAGATGCCTGCTTGAAAACCAATCTAAAGCCCGACAATTTTCCTCGCTTTTGGAGTTAGCCTGGCCAATCTCAGCTCAATTACTGAAATTAATAACATAAAGGATTTTGTTCATGTTCTCAGTGCCAAAAGCAAGGGATTTCAAAGAGAGTCCTAAATGAACAACCCCCTTTTCATGAATATTCTTAATAACTGACAGTAGCTGAATCATTAACATTCAGGTAGATTTTATGGAAAGAGGTTTGCCGATTTTAGTAAATATTTCCTCGAGTGTACTCCCTACCTCCTCAATTTTTACCCTCTTATTTTGAGTTATACTAAACCGATGGTTATACATAGATTTTTATGGTGAAAGGGTGGTAAAAAATTTAAAGTATTACAGTAATTCTTGTAACCTGCTGAATCCCAGCTATCCCTTGAAGTTTATTCAGTATTTTTAATTCTTCATGAGTCATAACTGATGATACAGGAGCAAGAATGCTCTCCTTTTGGTTATACTCGCTCATCTTTTAAAAATATATTATTAGCTATTATTCTATTGATTTCATTACTCCTTGGCTGGCTTGGGGTTTTGGGGTTTTGGGGTTTTGGGG